CGGCCTGGCGCGGCGGCAGCTCGCGCGCCTGCGCAGCCGGCTCAGGGCCCCTAGGTTTTCTATGGGATTCCCAATCCGCAGCAGAGACCTACCGGAGCGTGTGGCGGCGGCCGCGGGGCTGGCGAGGCGCGATCCGAGAGGGATTTAAGCTGCCTAGACCTCCGGAGAAAAAGAGCGCGAGAGAACCACCCACCGGACGGCTTCACCGTGTAGCCGAATTAAATACAAATATCTAAAAAGAACTGTTGAGTTTTATCATTTTCGTTAAGTGACCGTGCACAGCGCTATAACTGTAAGTGGAAAACACAGTCTTCGTTGATTTCTGCATGTGTAGTGCAGCGATTGTCTGCGAGATGCTTGGCTATTGTCACATACTTTGCATAGATGCGTCTGGGGGGCATTGGCTTTGGTCGACGCTGGTGATCTGAGGGCGCTGCTGGTCCTGGGGGGGACCTTTGGGGGGAGGGGGAGGAGGGGAAGGCGGAGTGTTTATATGCGGCGTGTTTGGGGGGACTGTCTAAGGCCAGATTTAAGAGAGGTGAAACAGAGGTGTTTTCGTAGCTTGCCACATATAGGCGGTTCTCCTTACACCGATTTAAGTAGCTAATTGACCGATGGTGAAGTTTTCCGGTTGCTGATCAAACTATTGAGCGGTGGCAGTCAAGTACCAACCTGTCAGCCACACGGGTGGTGCACCATTTTCCTCCCCGAGAGCAGCGAGGTGCTTGATTCTGATAAGTAAAACTGAGTGGACGAGATGGGATGGGAATCAGGATGGGTTTCCCGGCGGGATATTAGTTTAGAAGCCCAGAGCTAGGCGCAATAGGCGTGTTTCTCTCTTCGTGTTTAGAAATGAGTAGATAATCGTTCGGTGTGGGTTTTCGTCACGATGGTGAATGGGCAGAAAAAGGAGATGTGTCGCCGCACGGTCTCTTCCGAAAGAAGCCGGAGACGCCGAGCCGCTGAAGGGAGACTGTCAGACCCAAACTAGTTACCTGGCTGTCTTTACACCCCGAGTTCACATCCCGGAATGCAGGCTGGGGAAATGGGAACCCAGATGTGTTCCATTGGGTGGTGTTTCCTTAAAGGAGAAAAGGTCGTTTTGTGTTTTGAGTTAAAATGTGTTGTTCCTTGCCCAGAAGCGGAAGAAGAGTCTTTACAAGGTCAAACCCCCTGTGGAAAAAAAATCGGGGGCGCTAGTGATTGGGGAGGGGGCGCCGCTCCTCGCCGGCGCCCAGCACTGCAAGCATCAGTGCCCTGGGAGATGCCAGAGTGGGAATCCATTTTTCTAGAGTTGGCCTCCTGTCCATATTTTGGAGACTAAAATGAAACGCGAATGCGAGTGGGTGTAGAAAGCCAGTCTACTATCTGTGTGTCACATCCCGCTGGAAGGGAACAGAGAGTCGTATTTCTACACATTATTGCATTTTAATATTTAAGGAATTTCAGTTTGACACAAACTAAAATATGAAACTCTTGTGAAAACAGTTCACCCTTCACTACCATCTACAATATGTGTGGGGGGAGTATTAGGGGAGGGGAGAAGGCGTCACTGATCCCCATCTCCCCAGAGCATTCGCATTAAGCTTCGGTGTTTAATCACCTCAGAAAATGCCGCACTGAAGCAGGCAGGCAGGAGGAGAGCATGGCCAGTGCCTGCTGGATTTCCATGGCAAAGCAGATCCAGAGTCTGGGCTGAAAAGAAATCATTTTACAACAAATAGGGCCAATCATTAGAGGGCTCTTTGGCCCTTTAGCCGATCCAACTATGTAGAATCCCTCAAAGGAATCTATAATTTATTTAAATCGATGGCATTTGAAATCGAACGTTCGAGAATATGCTCTCCTTGGAAACCCAAAGTGTCTGTGCCTCCTTCCCTTTCTCCAGGGCAGGGGGACCAGTCACCTCCCACAAGGGAGCTCCACCTTTGGGCTCACTGCTATGGGGCATCCCCTCCGCCATGGGCTGCACTGAGAAATAAATGGTGCTGGAGGAAGAAGGGGGGTCTGGGGTGAAAGCTCCTGGATGTTGGGTCTCATACTCGGGCTGGTGGGATGGTAGTTTTAGAGGCTCCTGTGGGACAGAGACCTTAGAAGGCATCTAGTCCAACACCCCATAGGGGTGCAGATGAGGAAACTGAGGCCCAGAGCCAAGGAGTGAGGAAAAAGTCAGTTAACTTCTGGGCAATGAAAAAGACAATGAAAAGGTAATGTTGAACAGATAGGGTCCCCTCCACAATTCCAGTCTTCTCAGTCACAAAGCAGGAACCTTCGAAGAAAGACTGTCTGCTCCCAGATTCACCTTTCCAGAGGGCTCCTGGGGTTCCCTTCCCCACTTTAGCACTCTCTTCTCAGCTTCACCTCTCCCTGGAAAGTCTTTATCTCTTTCTCTTACCCTCCACCTCTCATATATCCATCTCATTAGAAGTTTAGTTTAGTCTTCCTGGCCTCATCTGCATTTCAGTTCATTTCTTTGGAATGCCAGGATCTTTTCAGAAAGCTGGCAAATCCCGAGCACCTTAATCTCCTATCTGAGAACTGCCCAGGCCCACCCGCACCCCTGTATTCTTCAGGGAATGCAGCCTTGTAGGCTCAGCACCCCTGTATTCTTCAGGGAATGCAGCCTTGTAGGCTCAGGCGCAGCGGGGTGGTCCTTCCTCTTTGGCCTCTCGCCTCCTCCCAAATTGCGGCAGCTGCAGGAAGGGGGCCCGGGAGCGAGGAGGCTGCAGTGTAAACATGCCGTGAGCTCGGCCAGCTCTCTTCTAGCTCCTAGAAGGCAGAACCCAAATCCAAGATGCCTGTCTCTAGTCTTCATGGAAATCCTCCAGAAGCCACCTGCAGAAAAGGGGAGGGGCAGTGTATTGAAGGAAGGATGGTTGCCCGGTTCAGCCTAAAGAGGGCGCTGTGGAGGAGAGCAGTGCTGGTTTTCAAAGCCTTTAGTGCTCTTAATGCCCTGGCCCAGCTCTGGCGCTGCTCTCTTCTCTGTCTTGCTGGACAGGGACTGCAAAGCAGACAATAATACCTGCATCACCAGGCTCCTCTTGCAGCTTTCACTGATTCTCCCTTCCACAAAAAATTTCTGAGTGCCTGTACAAACTAGAGGCTTTTTAAAGATAATCTGGGCCCTCTTGTTCTCAAAAAATGTCATCTCGCAGGCAATCAGAAAGATAACCACAGCCACCACTAATACCCCTTTGAGGAAATACCAGGAGTTCTCTTCTGGAAATCTGAGGCATTAGCCAAGAGAGGCTTGAGGAAGACAGTCTGAGTTTCTGTCTCATTTGAAAGGGCAGTGAAATACCCCTGGAGATTGTTGAGGAAGCTAAGAAAAGCGAGGAATGAATTTCTTAAGGCATTTCATCCATTAACAACTTAGGTGAACTCCCCTCATCATAAACCTCTCCTGAATTGAGATGAGCTCTGTCTGGTGTTTAACAAATGTTCTTGGTCAGATGCTACCTGGTCTTGCTCTCCCATTCTGGGGGAAAAGCAAAGGCTTGCTAAGCCACCAGGTACCCCCTGCAGAGTTCAGGCTGGTAGCTGCCAAGTGCCCTGCTTGGTTTGCTCTGCTGTGACTCTCCTGTAATAACATAGCATGATAGAAATGTCCTGAGCAAGCTATAGGTTTTCTATTTGGGTTGCATATAGGGCTGAATTCCAAACATTGCTGAAGAGCTGAAGCTCTCTGGGAATTTCATAGGCTGGTGCAGGGTGACTTTCATAGGACAGCAACACAATGTCAGCATCAAATGCGTGACTTCCTGATTCTCAAGAGCCATGATTTTTAATGTTCTAAAGTTGTTTTTCTTGGTATTGAATGATTTCTGTACTGCTAAGTTTAGAGATTATTTATGGGTCCTCCCTAGTGGCCTAGGGGTTAAAGCTCAGCCAAGACGAGTTCGATCCTCAGGCTGGGAGCTGACCCACATGGCACAGCAGACTTCTCTTGCCCATTGCTTCCCTCAGCAGTGCAATCTGCCTTTTCTGCTCCCCAACTCGTATCTCTGGTGAGTCCTCTCACCCTTGCACGCACTCTGGCTTCCACCCCAGTTCTTCTACACAAAAATTAATAAAATCATTTTTAAAAAAACAGTAATTATTTAGGAAGGAGGAAGGTTTTTCTTATGGTAGGGACCACATTGAGTTAATCTAAGATTGACAGTGTCCATCTCAGTTACAGTAAACTAAGTTAATTTTCTTGAAGTATCAAATTGTATAGACATAAATTTAAAAATGGCTGATATTTCTGCTAATCCCAGTGGTTAGGTCATGTAATTGAGTATATGAACTGGATGTGTTCCAAATAAATTATCTGTTCCAGCCCTCCAGTAATAAGGATATAGCACCTTAAGGAATATATTTTTTAAAGATTTTATTTATTCATGCATACAGAATTGGGGGGTACAGGCCAGAGGTGCAGGGGCGGTGAGAGAATTCACCAGAGACAGAGTGGGAAGCAGAACAGGCAGATAGATGAAGTACACTGCTGAGGGGAGCAGCGGGCAAGACAGGAGAGGTCTGCTGTACCATGTGGGTCAGCTCCAGGGTGGGGATCGAACTCGCACTGAAGTGGCCACAGCCAGCTTTGCAGTGCTGTGCTCTAATCTGCTGTACCACAAGGGAGGGCCCAAGGAATATTTTTTATCTTAAAGATAAAAATCTGCATATCTACAATCTGAAACCAGAGTCCACAAGAGCAGAGACTTTAATGATCCTTGTCATATTTTCACATAATCTATACAATGGCTTTGATGGTAAATAGTTCACAATATGTCACGTTGAAATAGTCCTAAAAAGAATCCACTATATGTATCTTATTCATTACATCAAGAAATTACACCATTTTTACTAAAGCATGTGCACATTTAATGTGGCGGGGGAAAAGCTTTATGTTACTAAAAGGGAAAACCAGAGTAAATGATACTTTGTATTTTTAGCAAAGAAATAAAAGCACTCTATTAATATCAGTATGAGTGTTTTTTTTCCACTTCCATGAGTATCTTTTAGCTCTTTAAAATATAAGCTATTCTTTTCTATTTATAAGAATTGATACTAGGAAGTGAGAGCTGTGTTTAAGCCTAGATGATGCTGGCTTTGTGTGCCATTTCTTTAGATGGTGGCCTCTTGAGCCATGGAATTATTTTAACTTCTCATACTGTGATGGGCCCACAACACTGCATTTTTCATTTACAGTTTGTTTCTAAAGATAACTTCATGCTCTCTTAAGTGAATCAAAATAGTTTGAGTTGCTCTCAGCTTGATTCATTGAGAACTTCACAAATGAGGATCTTG